ATATTAATTTGATCGGCTTTAATTTTCTTTTTTGATTAACAAATTTATGTTCTTAAATTTATTAGTTAGTCAATTTAAATTTTGAACAGTATAATTATTTTTTATATAGCCTAATAAAAGAAAATTTCAAAGCTTCAAATACATAAAATACGAATTTACATCTTTTAATTTTTAAACTACTTTTTTATACTCAAATATAAAAAAGTTTTGAGTTGAATTTTGCCTCCATTTTCAATTAAATATTATTTTATAAATTAAACTTTAAATAAGTACAAAACTATTTAAATCCGAAGAACTATATAATATATAGTAGTATAGCCTCAATTTTCTTCCTTTTTGTTTTTATTGATCTCGGATATAAAGAAAGCATAGAAAATCCTCAAAACACTCGAGCTTTCTCAATAAAAATAGAAGAGAGCTGACAACGATCATCAGAACAATCAAAGGCAGTTCCAGATTAGTGATCTAGTCACTTTGATGGGACACTCCCAAACACACTTTGATTAGCTAGTGGCAGTCTTTCGAGTTAACGTACATCTTGACGTTCCAAGAGTGGCGGATGACATTATCTGTGTTAAATCGGAACCCACATCTCTGTGACACAAGCCCTTTCAATCAGATAAACCAATTGATACTATGGCGACACCTTTCTGACCGCTTGGATCGCGACTCCAATCAAGAAAATGGCCAGCTGATTCGATTAAGTCTTTATACCAAGACAGTCCTGGTATTCGTCCTGATATGGTACAAGAATGCCTGTCTTTTTCTAAGTTCTCAGTTACCTTCTATAAATGTCTCTGGCTAGTCTTCTTCTACTCTTTACCTCATTTCCATGGATAGTGATCGTAAAGATGAGTTTTATGGTTGGCATTAAATAAGGCAATGTCATCCCAGTAACTGTGAAAGATATACGTGGTCTGGTGTTTTTAAGTTGCTGCTCTTTCGACATTTACCTTCTTTACTGTCCCTAGGTTATATAGCTCTAAGAAATCTTCCAGGATAATTTCTAACTTGTTTGTTGTGCGGCGATACATTCCTCTACTTACGTTGTCGTGCAGAATTTACTATTAGATTGCACTTCATCGTGTACGTCCATTAAACTGCAGGAAATACTGTTATTTATCACTAATGTGATAAAATATGAGATTTTTTTCCACTTTTGTATCCTATGCATCGAATATAAAATGCACTCAATGAACTATTATAACATAAGCATACAAATATCCAAGCCGAAAGCTTATAATATTTAAGCATTTATTTTTCAGTCTTTTAACATATAAAATACACTTTTAAATTATTCTAAAATTATCTATCTTAATTATTTAATTACATTTCTGAAATTCTATTTATTACAAATAAATCTGCTTATTGCATTGCCGTTATTAAGAAAGTAAGTCATAAATATTAAAATATTCTAGAAATCAATGACAGAGAATTCTTGTAATATTATGAACAATATTGAATAAACAACTATAAGTAAAATAATTCAAAACTTTCGGTCGCTACCGTCTTCCTTTGAATCGGTACAGAGAAACTCTTCTTTCACATGAAAATTTAAGGGAATTCAGAAATTTCGAATTAAAATATCAATAGACCAACATGACTTTCTTTACATATAATTGAAATTATAATGGATTTTTCCCGTTTAAACGTAGAAAATTCCTTAGGAATCGAATGGAAAAAAAACAGTAAAAAACATGCAAAAATGGATTTTCCATGTTTGTTGAAAAACATTTGTTATAAGGAAGACTGACATTCGAAATTATTTATTATTTTTTCATATTCGTTTCTTCAATAGAAGCAAAGTCATTAATAAAGTTTATCCTTCAAAAATATTTACATTACTTTACTATGCAGAAGCTACATAAAATTTTGACAAATGTGAATATGAAAATCAATAATCTTGCATTTTATATATCTATATATATATAAACTTTAATCCATAGTATAAAAGGAATCATTGTATTGGCTATAAACGATAGATTTGCTTTAATCTGAAATAAATGTATCGATTTTATATCCTCTTCAATTTCACTCTGAGTTACAGAAAGATATTGTAGATTACAGTTAACTCTGTCATATTTAAGAATAGTTGGTGGCACAAGAGGATATATTCCGAATGCTGAAGTAGATATATTGGCGGTTGATATCTTCCTGACTAGAGCCTGCTGTTTAGCTGGAATGATGGGTATAGCAGGGTTGGAAGTCCAGATTTATGGGCGAAACGGTCGGCAGACTATCATATATCTCTTCTGAAGACACATTCAGAAGCAATCACGTGATTCTGCGGAAGGATCTACTTTTTCACTATCCTTAGTAGATTGTTATCAAAACATCTCCGCATTCTTTCGGTTTATTTATGTGTCGTTTTAGCATTTCTAAATATTTAATATGTTTAAAGTGTTTCTTCATTGTTTAAAAGTTTTTCACCGACTGAAGCTAACTTTAATAAATGTGGCAAGAAAGATGAACAATGTTCTTTTCTCTCGTACCCATCCCCGCATCCTTCTAAACAAGTCGAAGAACTGTCCTTATCTTAACTGTACGCTGCGTTTTCCACGTCTTTTATAGCTTTAGCTGTGATAAAGGAGTCACTAAAGAGATATTGAAAACGTGGTTTCTCAGCCGGCAACTTCCTAATCTGCTGCTGTTTCTAACGGAACGAACCGTGTCGAGACTTACAAAATTAACAAAAACGTATGGAGAAAAAAATTAACAATAACTTAAAGAAAAAAGGCTATCTAGTGTACTTGATTTAATCAACTTACTTTATGAATTGATTCGCGAATAATTGGTAAATGATGCGTTACTGTTAAACCATAAGAATATGGTTAACGGTAATAAAATTAAAGCATCCCAGTCTGAATCACATAATAGATTATCTACTATAAGTGAATTGACAACTAAATGTATGATGTAGGGTCTATAACCTATAATTTATCCGCGAAACTTGGAATTCATATAAAAATAAAACGCGTTTTAAGTGTAAAAATGTTATTGCTAGAGTACTTTAACCATATTTCATTATAGTGAAATATGACAAAGGATTTTTTAAGTCATGAATGAATAATGTATCTTAGCCTTAAACCATTGTATTCTTTAAATTTTTTATCATGTAAACACCTATTAAGTTATTTATTCTTCGTTTACTTTTTATGAAGAATTGTTAATTGATTGTAAATAATTGAAATAAATAATGGATTAATTATTTATTCAAGTTAAACACTTGCATGACTATTCTCTTTCAAAAACCAAAAGTCATTCGTTCGAATTTATTATTTAAAAATATTAAAAAATAATCACATATAGAAAAAAATTAATTAATTACTTCCAATAAAAACAATTAATTATACTACAATAAAAGATTTAATTAATTATTTAAAAAGTGTTCTTAATTTATTAAATTATGTTATTATCTAACTTAAATATATAAAAAATAAGTTAAATATTGTAATCTTAATTGAAACTTACTAACATATTAAATGAGAAAATTCCAAACATATTTTAATAATATATATATAAGACTACTTTTGGAATCGAGAAATTTTGATCAAAATTCTTTCCTTAATGAATTTATTAAATTGACCATTTATTGTTTTATTAAATCTCAAACTTAATCATATTTAATACTGATATATTTGAGTAAAAAGTTAAGAGATCGTATATTTAGTTAATTATTCACAAGATAATGAAAATTTATCTTTATTGAAATGTTTACATGAACTTTTATTATTAAATATTTTAATTATGCCTGTGTTAAACGATAATTCAGCATTATGTCTATAAAGTGTGTTTCATTTATGTTTATTGCTCGTAAATCCCAGCAGATTAAAATAAACTTCATTTTTTTTTTATTCTATGTTAACTTAAACTATATTCTTATATTTAAAGTTAATATCATGCTGAAAATTCTTTTGGCAAAAATTTTTATTTAAAATTATCAATAAAATCATCTAAAATATATTTTTCTAGAAACCTGTTCTTAGTTTAAAATCTCTTTATAAGTTTAATTTTTTAAACGTTTCGTCTTAAAAAACACATCATAATTAATTAATTAATGGATATAATTCTTTCCTAGTTACTAAATTAATATCGTACAGTAGCTTGCAATTAACAGAAAAAAATCTTCTGTAAAAAAACTGAAACATCGTTATCAATTTTCTGATTAAAACAAGAACGAAAGCTTCACTAAAAGTTATTTTTAAAAATCTAAATCGAATAGGTGGAGTCTAAAAACAAGTGATAATCGGCAGATCTTGAAGCACGTAAAAAGCGATTATCCACCAAAAAGTGTTTCCTTTAATTTGCTAATGGCAGAATACTGTCAAAAACAAATGCCTATACGCGTGACTTAATACTATAATCTTTTTTTATACTTAAACTATCTATCGTAGACTATGAAAATTTGTTCCACTATCGTCCTACCGTACTTAATGTATTTTTAATAAGGTATATTTATGGTATAATGTAACTAATTATAACACACATAGCATCAACTGATAGAAAAAGAAACTGCTTATAAAATATAAGACTTAAATGCTGTTGTAAAGATTTTACATGATATTGTATAAGTTTTCAAAAGTTTGGGTCTTATGCTACGTTTACAATATTTATCTGCTTTGTATAAATATAGAAAATCCCTAAGACGTGATCCCATCGAAACATGAATACTTGAATAAACTAACGTTTGCTGTATAAGATAATGGTTCACAATCAAACGGAGGATGAAGTGATATTTAAAATGTGTACTTCTCTCTCATTATTGTTTCTAAAACTAACATATTTCACCATCAAATTTAAATACGATGAAATATTTAAATTTTCATGAAAATTAAGTGTTATAAAAATTCTCTAGAATGCTTATTTACGTATATGAGTTGTTAGACTTTATAATGTCCGTTTACATATATATGTATAAATATATATACATTTTTATCTAGTTTATACTTTATACATCTTACATTTTATAAAAAATTATATTACATTTTGTTTCGTTCCAGGAGGACATTAAAACACGAGAATATTTACATATTCTAAATAGGTAAGTAAACTTGTTGTTAAAATATTTTTGATACTTTACAGTACAAGAGATAAAGATATTAATTAATTTAAATTAAATTTTAAATGGAATAATTATAAGTTAAAATTAGCTAATCAAAATATATAACTTAATTGAAATGATTATTTGAAGTAATGTAATATATATATACATAATACTGTACTGTTAATACTAGCTAAACAGTAGTATCAGGAATTTGCTGACAAGTAGCTATTATCTCCAAGAATGCGCTGAAGCAAGATTTTTTCTTCCCCCTTTAGAATTACAAAACGTTTCTGAGAAATAGTTCAGCCAAATATCTTCTAGTATTGTTTCTAATGCAAATTTAGAAGTACTGTAATTCTCTTTAAAAATGAATTATCTTAAGTGCTTATCGTTTCGATAATAAAAGAAGATACACGAAAAAGTGTCTACAATAATTTTTTGTATATTTTATTCGTGAACAATATTAAAATTCTAAAATCAAATTCTTCTAAAAATATCTTCTCTAAATATCAGTTTTAAAATGTAGATTTCGAATATTGGATTTACGTATTTTTTTTGTCGAATAAACGGAATGTGTGTGGTATATTATCGGAATTTTTAAGCCATAAATTATAATTTTGGTAGCAGATTCGTATCGTAACGAGCAGACATAAAATGGCTTTTGCCTATTTTGCGTTTTAAAGCTGGAAACGTAGATGTGTGCAAACATTCCACCCTTTTTACCTTTACACTATATACATGTCAGGTACATTATCATTCATATTATCTAAATGTCCAGGATACGGGTTGTCGATTATGCTTACATCCATTGACAGCTCATAGATCTTTTCACAAGCAAATGTGCTATAGCATCTAATGTTCTATACCTTTCTTGGCAATGGTATCAGGATGCTGACAGCACACCAGCAGGCAAAAACAGCATCGTCTAGCTCGAAAAGCTAAAACTATCAAGAATTCCTGGTCTGACGACTTACTTTCTTTCCACGTTTGACAAGTAACAGGGTCTGCAGATTTCTGTCTTTTTAGTCAAGGTCACGACTCGACTGCCATTTCTTATATATAAAAAAACAAATCAAAGTCAAATGATAAATATTTCATACCAAAGGAATTTTCAAAGGAAAAAGTCGGTTAATTTTATCGAGATATTTTGAAATTTATTTTCATGGATGAAAATTCCAATAGAATGATAACATTTTATTATGTAACGAAGTAATTTGCGCTTTACATTTGTTAATAGTTTAAGAACTTTCCATTGATTTCGCGTTTAAATTAAGAGCATTTCAGAAATATTAAGAATTTCGTAGATTCTTTAAATAATATAAATTTTTTTATATATTCGAGTATGGTTTCACAACATCTCTAATTGACAACCTCTATTTAGCACACTGGCATATTACCGCATTGGGAAGGAATAGAGTTTGAGATTCCTCTCGGAGTTCGTGACTCACTAGCTGAAACTAAATTAAAGTAGACCTATTGTACTAAATTTAGGCCTATCTAAATCACCGAAACCAAACAGATTAGCTTTGAACAGTGCCTTTTGTATGATATAACTTACAAGATACTCATCTTTGAAAATCTATATATAGAAAATTAACTATTATGCAGCTCTCATTCATCAGGATAAAATGAATGAATTCTGTATCTTTTTTCAGTATCAATTATATATTCTGTAAAAAAGAAAGCTTTGCTAATAAGCTCTTTAAAATTTTTCACAAGTATATAATTATGACGCGTTAAAGAAAAAAATATAAAATAAACAGTATAAATTACTTTATTGATTTTTAAAAATATTTATTAGTTATTAGTAATTAAAATTAAATAATGTTACTTTTAGAAGAAGAAGCATGTACAAAAAATTCTAACTGTACTTAAAGTTTTAAAAATTCAAGCTTCTTTAGCTGATTTATAGAATGTGTAAGTATCATTGAAAGTTTTAGTTATATTAAGCTGAATAAAAAAAACTTAAGTAAATTTTATGAATGACTCAATTAACAAGATAGAAAAAAGAAACGGCAATAAAATTAATTAATTCTAACCAACTCATATATAAATTAGAAGTAAAGAATTCCTAAATAAATTCTAAGCTTACAGATGTTGCAAGTTTCATTGTTGTTTATACAGTTAACGAAACTCTGAGTTCTTTTGCTATTTTTAATAGAATAAAAGAGTTAATTGTTATACAGTATATTGATGCGCTGAATACATACGAACAGCTTTTTAATATTCTTTTCGTTAGAGGAAGAAAAAAAGAGGCTAAACAAACAAAGAACTTAAAATAAAAACTTTTGCTTATTTAACAAATTACGGAATAAGTAGGCTACACCTTCATCAATCTAAAGCGACACATTCAGTGTTTACGAGATAAAGCGAGTCTATTTTTTTCAGTTCCATTACCGTCTCAAATTCTTATGGAAATGAAGGAAGCAGATCTCATAAATAACATATCGGTAAAAATAACGGAGTTCTTGCTTTCATTTACATAACATTCGACATACTCTCCTCATTAATGCTTGCTGTTCGAAGCTATACAGGTCTCTTATCTGTTCCCACATTTTCCCTCACGCAATCCGGGGATAGATACTGTTCTTCATTTATTACCATTTTTAGAAAGATCCTAAAACTACTTGATTTTTTTTTTAATATATATATATGTACTTTCACTTAAAACGGCGCATATTTTCATTCAGAATACGTAAAATCTTGGATAAATTACAGTTTCCCTTGTGGTAAATGGAAAAATATATAGTTTGGACGTTTCCATTTTCTGTTTTTGTCACGCTCCTATCGGAAATTCATTCGTGAAAGTTTTTGATTCGAGCAGTCGTAAATTATCACGAATACGTTTAGCACGCGAAATATTTTGTAAATAATTTAAATTTAACAAAAATATTGGCTTATGTAAATTTAATTAACTTATAATATTAATTATACAATTTTAATTGTATTATATTTTTATGTTTCATTATCATTAATACGATTTTATAGTTTATTAGTTTCTTTTTATAAATGATCTTATTTTGGATTATATTAAATTCTCAAATTGTTTTAATACTTAAAACTCAAATAAATATGTTTAATTATTTTCTTAAATGTCTAAACTATAAATTTGTTAGAATTTTATATTAAAATTTTTCAAATTATAGCATTGACTCGTTAAACTTTTTATTTTTAAAATTTACTTGATTTTCCTGGGATGCTAATGTATTTTATAAATAATTTAATATAATTAATTACTTTATAACTATTAACAATACACAGTATTTAAAATGATTTTACTACATTTTAAAACACTGTTTTAAGATTTGAATTTTATTTTATTTTTTTTTTTAATTTTTTCATATTTTTAAAGTTACAGAACTACTTAATAAAGTAGAAATAATCTCGTTTAGTTGTTTTTTATTTCTAAATTATGGACAAGAATGGGATTTGTAGATTAAAATCGTGTGTGATGTAGAAAGATCTCGGCATAATATATTAGTTGTAAGATTCATATGACTTCCATAGGATGCGGTTATGTAAACAGAGCGTGTTGTAAAATCAGATTTGACAAAGCGAGAAATGATGTATTGAAATGAGAGCAGCATATTATGAATGTGAGAAGGAAGCTTTTATAAAACATGTCGTATGAATGTAAGGAGAACAGCACTAGTTTGTCAGCAGAAGAATGCGCCAAGAAGATAAATTAGCAATTTAATTATTTTTCTTTATTGAAGCCAGCCTTCAAATGCTAAATATAGATAGAGGCAGAATTTTTCATCACGGATCTGAAGTACTAAATAGCTTAAAATAAAATTCAGTAGTTAATAAAATTTTATAAAATCGCATAAAGAATGGAATGCGAAAAGAAATTACATATAGAAAATAAAATGGGATTTTTTTGAAAGTATACAGTTTCGTTCTGTTTTAAGTATTTATTTATGTTTCTAGAAGATTTTCTTTGATTTCTTAGTGAGATGAAAGTGATATTTGGGAAATATTTATTTAGTTAGATGATTTAATACTAGAATTCTTGGAGTAAAAAACCTAATAAAAATGGAGTGGAAGCGTATGTATTTTAATACGAAAGTTTATATATAGTCAAAAAATATACAGGTTATTGCATTTAATGGGTTCAGGTTCTGAGCAGATGTGTGGTCTCCAATAAAATGAAGAAATATGTTCCTGCTAAGAAATAGTCGATGACGAAGTTACAAGTGTTAAATGTCAAAGTAATTGTGATATAAGAGCTCGACGAGAAATTGGAAGAGTAAAACGGACAAAATTTATCCGTTTTTTTTTTACTAACGTTCATTTATTTGTTCACACCAACTGGTCCGCTCTCTACTTTCTTGTAAGTGAAGCTCGTAAACGGAAACAACTCGTTACGAAAAACAACCATTGGGATAGAACCCGATTTTACACAAATTAGATTAAATAAACGAAATAAAAATTCTTATACCCTGATCCGAAACTCGATTTTTTCAAGCTATCTTTTTTTCCCCTGTACAACTAAAGCAAACTTTGTTATATATTGTCCAACTAATAATAAATTCTAGAAAATCGCCTTTTTTTTTTTTCAAAAGAAGTTCTTACGATAACTAACTGCAATAAAATGTAAGAAACGTATCAATAATAAATTTTTCTATTATTTAAATTTATCTGACTTCTTTACTGGATATAGAAATGTATAAGCTTGATTTATTAAAATTAATTAAGATATTAAATTCGAAATGAAATGGTTGAAAATTAAAAATAAATTCTACACTTTAGTGTGTCAATGTAAATATAATATAATAATTAAATTAATCTTCGTATCGACAATAACACGGATGGACTAATGAGGTGATCTTAATTGGATTAATGGTAAGTCTTTACTCGATGACCATGATTGATGCATTGCTATGGACGGAGAAACTAAACCAGGAATTTAGATTAAAATGGATATTGTTACCAATTTAGTTATCTAAGCGTGAATTATTGTCATATTTTATTAATTTTCGC